TAAGTTATCCATAAAGTGAAGGAGATTCCTGTCCTGCATGACTGTGGTCTCTATCAGTCAACCATTTGTTTTCTTTCCTTTTCTCTTGGGCAGCCAGGAGTGTCCAAGAAATATCACACATACCCCCCTTTGATTTTTATGAGCAATTTGGTCTTTGCACATTAAAAATTAAGAGTATTATACAATTATGTTAGAGTAGCATGTTTTTCCTAAAATAAACATATTATTTGAAAATCATCTGAGTAAATTATATTTTAACTTTATATAGTTATTTCACTGTTTTTGTTAAGTGTGTGGAATGATTCTGCATTCATGATAAAACCTCTATTTCTCCAGTGCACCTGAGACTTTTGATATTTATGTCAAATATTTTTCTTTACCCAAATTTGTTATTTATCTCTGTGGGGTATTTATTTTCACTGCCAAGATACGAATTCATCAGAACCTCCACAATATTTCTACTACTGGGACCATAAGTTGATATTAAGTGAAATGTTTGCTTTTAGACAAGTTGTAGTAGCTATAAGTAAGCAGAACATGCCTGAACAGTATGCTTGTTTAGATTATAATTGTTTTGTATTCTATCCCAGACAACTAAGATTAGACAACACTTTATTAGGAGAAGTTATAATCATAAATAGGTTCCAAAAGCTTGTATTTATATGTGTGAACTGTTATTCCATTACACATTACTGAATCACTGTATTTTCTGATATACTGTACATGGACCCTTGGTATTTTCTCAAAAAAATAATCTAATTTGATAACTCTTTAGAATTACCAAAAGACAGTTTTGATGTGTACTATGGAGATCAGACAAGCACAAAAAATCACCAAAATAAGTCAAATGTTGTCTTAACGTTGAAGTTAGTACATAAATAGCAAATGTGTGTATGACTTCATTTTGTTACATGTGTATTGACGTTTGTGTGGTTCACTATGTGAAGAATTATATGGTTAAGTCTGAATACCAGAATTTGTATTCCATCAATGTCTTTTTAAATTTAAGATTAAATTTGTTACATAAATAGAATATTGTATGTTGAGTCCAAAAACATGGGTTTCTTTAGATCTCTGTGAGTTTTAGCTTCCTCTCTGAGATTACTAATTAATTCCTTCATAGTATTGAAGATTACATAAATGATTTGAAATATTTATAATGAATTCTATACATGTAAGTAATAGCCTATTAGTTAAAACTTGCTTACCTTAGTTTACGCATTTACCTCAGCTTAAATGTTCACCTTATATTTATATTTGGTTAGCATATCAACTTTGTAACTACTCAACAGATACATAAGATTCTTCTTAACTATCATTTTGTGTTTAAATTAGCTAATTATGAAATATGCTATTTTAAAAAATTTCAATTGGCAGCATCATTGAATGATTGGACAAGTAATTAAAAAGAAATTGCTCTCCTTATTGCTTTATGGTGTACTTCATACAAATGGTATTTTTCCACTGCTTTATTGACCTTGAAAATTGCTTATATTCTTTTATATAAGAAAATATTTATTTACAATTTTAAAATGCATGCTTTATTTGTACGAGTAGGGTTTGATCATGCTAAGCTTGCAAATTTCTCCTATAAGATATTGCAAATAAAAAACAAAGTAGAAAACCATTTAGAAAAAAAACCTTACCTTTGGCATTTATTGCGCACATTCATAATTATGAGAATGCAGGTCATAAATAAATGGTCCACTTTCATTTTATAGTTAGGGTTTTAAAATTTTCATCTTGTCAAATGAAAAATAATTAATAGAAAATGGGAAAGTACTGTAATTTTTGTATTCGTCATGAATAACAGGTATTTGGTATAGTAGCTCAGTAGTAAATTATTAGAAGAACCAAATTGTGAAATAATATCATATAATGGGTCAAAATTATTTATATAGTTACCAGTATAAGAATCAAGCATGTGGGTTCTTATTAATATACCATTAGCCTGGTCACACAATGAAAGAGAATGAAAGGGCAATTTTGAATGACATTTCTATCAACTTGGGAACTGTCAACCTCTATTATGTCCTTGGGGCTTTGCACTTTTTGGCTTTCAGACATCTGTGCTGCCCTGAATGGAGGAGAATATTAAGAGTTCCAGTGGGTCTCTTGCTCTAATAAATGCTTTGGGTAGTCATTTTTCAGAACGTGCACATAATAGTTCTTAGTGCTTACAGCTAAGCCTATGACATTTCATATGCTTCCTATCATCAGCACCTACATCTGCATCATCTTCGTCAAGACCCTCATTCCTCCTACACACATACTCATGCTCTATTTCCTCTTGCTCATAAATCTCTTCTGTTGCAACTCTGGGAATATATTCCTTCCTCTTTTTTTTTTTTTTTTTTTTTTCTGCACTGTCAAGTGAAACAACCACCTTAATTTCTCCAAGCATCCCCTCAAAAACTTTTGCAAGAGTTGTAAATACTGCCCAGGGAAGTTTTCAGGCTGTCATAACAAAAGCTGGTAGCTTCACACAGAAAGTAGTAAGTAGGTACATTTGATAGAGGAAAAAGTGTTTAGAATATTTACGGCTGCATGGGTAACAGTCACTAAAGCACCTATCTGACAGGACATTCAGGCTGAATTAATGAGAAGAGAATCTGGATTCTAATCCTGATTGGTCTACTGAATGTCAGTAGCATTTAGTTTATTATGCATATGAATGTTTTCATTTATTATTAGTAGTAGTATATGTTATGCTTTGATAAAATTTTAAAGATTGGGATTACTATATATTTTGTTAATGTTACATCGTTACATTGAGGAAGCTTTTAAAAGGGTTTTGAAGCTTAATAATTTTTTTCAAAAATTACCTCCCTTTGTATTGTATATGGTGGTGGCTTTCACATGTTAGTGTGCATCACAATCATCTGGGATTGCTCACTTTTTTTTTAAGTTTTGATTTTGATTTTGATTTTGATTTTTGAGAGAGAGAGAGAGATCAGCATGAGTGGGGGAAGGGCAGAGAGAGGGGCACAGAGGATCCAAAGTGGGCGCTGCGCAGATAGCAGAGAACCCAAATTGGGCTTCAACTCATGAACTGTGAGATTGTGACATGAGCCAAAGGCAGACGCTTCACTGACTGAGGCACCCAGGCGCCCCTGGGAATGCTTGTTAAAATACACGTTGCTAGAACCCACCTCCAAAGTTTCCAAAAGAGAGAATTTGCTTTTCTAATAATGTCCCAGGTGGTGTTGATGGTACTGATCCAAGTATCATATTTGCAAACTATTCATCCATACTGTCGGTATAGAGAAAAAGGACGCAATACTTCTGGGTTTCTGTCAACCTATATAAGGATTATGGCTCACCAGCTCAACTGAATGTTCCAGATTGAAAGATCTAGGCATAATTTTGCCCCTGCTGTTTTAAAAATGCTAAAGTAAATTTTTCTTAATTATATAGTGAACCAGTCATGGAATTAGTTTACCTTACTTCCTTCCAAGATTCTATGAATCCGTATAAATTCAGTGTAATGGTCGTCAACTTATTACACATCTAATGTGATCACAGATTGCCATTTGAATTCTAATAGATTTTCAGATAATTCTTCTTTTTTGCTGAAAGAGAAAACAGAATTTTTTAAAAAATGTTAGAGTAATTTTTCCTAGTTTTTCTTGAGTTTCCTAAGTGCAGCTAACCATGGAATTTAATAACAATAATCCACTTAAAAATATAAACTTTAAATAGACATCATATACCATTTTACCATTTTTATAAAGTGATTTGTTTCAATGGTTTTTGGTGTGTATATATATATATATATATATATGTGTGTATACATATATACATATGATTTTGTACACAGTAATATTTATTTTCATGCCATAAAATGGCACCATTTGATTCTAAGAAAAATAGATATTTACTTTCTTAACTCATGAAGGTAGAACAGTAGCTAAGTAGAAGCTAAATTTTTATTCTACAAGAAAAATGTAACATTGTAGATATGGTTATCAATAAAATATAAACATATAACATGATGTTTTAATTTTAGAGCACAAAAAAGGAATAAATTTTTCAGTCTGTGATCAGAAAAGTGATGTAATATCATCTGATTCTTGTGAATGATGTGGTAGAAATTTTAATGATAATTGTATACATAAATTTTATGTATGAAATTACACAAGGACTAATATAGAAAGGTATAAAATAGAATGTAAACTATGTAAACTTGACCTATTCAAGTAGTGAACAACTGGAAATCACCATATATGCTGAATTAACCACATAAAGGTCCCCATACCACAATGTATTAATTGTGGTATACGTTGCGAAGAAAATCTGGACAACAAATCTAATTTAAAAACGTAAAGTGGTTAGAACAGTGTTGCATATGAATAAATAGTACATATTGGTATAATGTTAATTATGTTTAATTTCACTTTTAGATCAAATCCAAACTGTTTCTGTGAAAACTAGGAGAAAAGATTATTTTCTAAGAAAGTTAGAAAGTTTCTTTCTTTTTTGTATTCAATTTGGAGAGTAGTTCTGATCAGACTACATACCATTTAACTCCTCCATCATGGATGTTCCAGGATCTCTGCCGAAGCACCAAGCTATAAGGGTGCTTGGGACTCAACCCCTGTTCTTCGGAGGTTGAGAAAAGCTTATCTACATCATAATTGTACATGAATTATGCATGGTCTCTCAATAAAAATGAATAGTACAAGGAATAGCTTTTTAAGAGTATTTCTTACAGGTGACATCAGTTATATACTTTCTGGATAGTTGAGTACCTGTGTACTTTCTCAAGAAAGTATAAATTTGTATAAATTTGTACTTTATATGAAAGGTTTTTCATAATATGTAGTTGGAAGTGACATTGTTGACAGCTAACCAAACACTGTGATGTTCAGGTTGAATGTTAAGATCACTAATTGGTAGAGTAATTGGATGGGAAATGACAGGCTGTATACCTTTGTTTTTCTAGGCATTTTTTGATCAGCCTTTCCTTATCACAGCTCATGTTCTAATGATCATTGCAGGATGAAGTGGCACAGCCACTGAACCTATCAGCTAAACCCAAGACCTCTGATGGCAAATCACCCACATCACCCACCTCTCCCCATATGCCAGCTCTGAGAATAAACAGTGGGGCAGGCCCCCTCAAAGCCTCTGTCCCAGCAGCATTAGCTAGTCCTTCAGCCAGAGTTAGCACAATAGGTAAGTTCCGTTTCTTTTGTTCTTGCTGATTTTCTGTTTATGGCAATTGAATGAAATCATCTTTTAATGGCAAATCACGCATACCCTGTGCATGGTTTTAGTTCCATAGGAGAGTTTCCATTTGATGAACCTCATAGGTCTGTTTTAAACATGCAAATGAAATTTATAACTGAAGTCCAAGTTACAATGTCCCCCTGAAAAGCTAATGGAACTGGTTATGTTTGTTGATGTAACAGATGTTCTTAAGCTTTAAAAAAAAAAAAAAGAGGCCTAAGTGACTTAATCACAGAAAGCAATGTTTCCAGAATGTTGTTGTTAGGTGACTTGCCTTTTCCATCACTGAAATATGTTTCCATTTTTTTTGTGATGTGTACAAACTGTACATAATGATGAAATACATTCCACTTAGATCAGCAGTCACCCATCAGGATATGACGTTTGTTCATTTCCATACTGCTTGAGTATTATTTGAACATACCAAAGTATTATAAAAAGTAGAGAGCTTCATTTCTCCATAATTGGCATTTTGGTAGAGTAATAAGTAAACACTAAAAACTGCTTCTATAAGCTGACTTTAAAAATTCCAATAATTTTTACTATAGTAACACATAAATTAGACTGTATATACTTACTTCAATCCACATTAATTGACGTTTATCATTTGCATACAGTAGTACAGACAAGCCTTCGAGGAGCTCAAGGTTTTTAAATTTTATTTTACTTATTTATTTTAATATTTATTTTTGAGAGAGAGAAACACAGAGCATGAGTGGGGGAGGGGCAGAGAGCAAGAGGGAGACACAGAATCCGAAGCAGGCTCCAGGCTCTGAGCTGTCAGCACAGAGCCCAACACGGAGCTTGAACTCACAGACCATGAGATCATGACCTGAGCCGAAGTCAGACGTTCAACTGATTGAGCCACCCAGGCGCCCCAGAGGAGCTTAGGGTTTAATTAAGGGAAAAGTCATCCATGTCATAACCATAGAGAGTGCTATTTGAGAACAAAGATACAACTTTGTAATCAACGAGGAGTATTGGATTCTATCTGGGAAGGATCAAGGAAGGCTAAGTTGGGAATAGCCTAATTCAAGTGGAGTCTTGAGGAAGAGAGATATCCGTAGACATTTTAGCTTTTAAGAGAAAACCCAGAGTAAAATAGCATATTTTTGAGAAATGCACTGATTTGGCGAGAGTATGGAATGAGTGTGTAGTGGAAAGTGATCAGGGCTAAAACCGAAAAGAGCAGATGGAATCTGACTGAATGCTATCCTAAGAAATTTGACTTTTTCTCCAGACAGCAATCTGATCAGAACTTTAAGAAAGAAGAGTATTGGCATCAGGAAGAGACTGGAATCAGGGAACCCATTGCTTTAGTGTGGGACAAGAGTTAGTTAGTTCCATGAAATAAAAATAAGCAATGATAAAACAAAGGAGAGAATAGATTGAGGAGATATTAGTAAAGAAGAATTGATATAACTTACCCTTAATAGAAAGTACCTGGTGAGGTTCAGGTTGAAGACAGAGGAGTCTAGGATTTTTAATTCATAAAGTAAGAATGATAATACCTCCCTTAACCATGAAAGAGAAGACTAGAGTGGAAGCTGATGAAGGGGAAGACATAAATATAAAAATTTCCTAAGTGTTAAAAGACAAGGAGCCATTTAGGTATACATATTCAGGAGGAAACTATAAATATTTCTGATATGTGAAGTGGTGCTAGCATTTTAGATGTAGAATTATATATGGTATAAGGGGATTAAGAGTACACTTATGACAACGAGCACAGCGTAATGTATAGAGTTACTAAATCATTATATTGAAACCAACCACAGAATTATTAAATTACTGTATTGAAACTAATGTATTATAGCTATACTGGGATTAAAATAACAAAATAAAATGAAAGCACTAATTTGAAAAGAAGTTGTTCACCAACAAAGAGTGTATATAGTAAAAAGAGAAATGGGCTAAAGAATCCTAGGTATCACCTACTGTATTAGTTATCTATTACTGAATACCAAATTAACCCAAAACTCAGCAGCTTAACATAACCAACATGCATTATCTCACAGGTTCTAGGGGTCAGAATTTGGAAGCAACTTAGCTCAGTGGTTCTGGGTTAAGGCCTCATGGTTGCAGTCAAGATGTTAGGCAGGGCGGCAATCATCTATATGGGCTTTACTAGGGATAGATGCTCCTTTGTCAAGATGTCTGACTCACATGGTTGTTAGCTGGTAGGTACGTTCTCTACCTTGTTGAGTCTTTTCAAAGGGCTGCTCATCGCATGGAAACCAACTTTCCCCAGTGTGGGTGATGGAGAGCAAAGAGAAAGCCATAGTGCCTTTTATAAACCTAGTCTTGAAAGTCACACACCGTCCAGTCTATTTTATTCTTTTCACTATAGGAGAATCACAAATTCAGCCCAACTCAAGGGAAACGGTATTAAGGTCCAGCTCTGAAGGAAGCAATATCAAAGTATTGTTGGACACATTGTAAAACCATCATTCTTCTTTAGGGGGAAAACTGATAAAGAGCAAGTGAATGTATTAGAATAAGAATAAAGATAGGAAAATGCTAGCCTAGGAAAAATGAAAGTTTCAGAAAGGAGGGGTATTTAATGGTCACCCATTTGGCAGAAAAGTTAAAAAAAACACATGAAAAAGAAAAGCCCTGTGATTTAGCTAGAGCTCATGGAGAGGTAAACTCTAATGGAGAAGCTTTGGGAGAATGCCTTAGGAGAATTTCAATTACAATGATTTGAAAGACAATGAGGAAAGAAAATGCAGTTGATATATAGACCAGTCTTTTTGTAAGCTTGGCATTGAGAAGTGAATATTTTAAGAAGAATGAGTAGAGACAGGTTTTAAAATGGGACAGTCGTTCATATATATATATATGACAATATATATATAAAGTCAAGGGGAAGAAGAGTCAGAGAGAGATAAAGATATGAAAGAGAACACGGATGATGATGGAAGAGATCATGAGAAAGGATTAACCTTGGAAAGGAGCAAAGCCCTTCCTTTATCTGAGACTGAACGAAACGAAGGAAAAAAGGGAAAGTTACAGAGAAGTTGTGGGATGGACAGAAAGAAGGCTGAAGGAATACATTTCAAATGCTTCAATTTCCACAAAGTAGAATTCCTGATTATTTGCCAAGAGGAAGCCAGTCTGGGGCAGTGGGGCAGCAGTGACAAGAGAAACTATGAAAACTTTAATTTTGAGAGTTTAAAAAAGGTTTGGGGTTCACATGTGCTTTTTATCATTATGAACCATTCTGTTATGGTTTAACTCAGTTACTCTGCTCAACATCTTAAATGGACTCCAAGATAAGGTTTGCTTTCATGTCCTAAGTATGTAAGAGAAAAAATATTTTATTTGGCAGGAATGATTCACTTCCATAATAGACACGATGCTTGTAAATATCACAACGCTGGTCTATGATCTACTTTTGTAATGTTTCTAGAAGTAGAATATTTAACTAACAAAATAACTAATAGATTTGCATTTTTATCATGTAAGGAATTTTTTTTTTTACTTCAGCATTCCAGGGATTAAGTGTGACCAAAAAAAGGCAAGAATGTATTCAATGACATTTATCATTTGACTTTCTCCACTACTAAAACTTCTCTTACTTTTTTTCCCTTAAAAATCCTTTCACCACGTACACATCTCTCATATTTTCCAAGGATTTGAGGCCACTACGATTTACTTTTCTCTTTTCAGCAAATGCAGATGTTGAAAGCTGAACTGTAATGAGTAATAATGTCATTGGATAAAAGCTGTGAGCATTAACAGTGTTGTAAAGGTCACCCCTGAAAGAAGAATTAATGTATGATGCCATTAATAAACCAAGGAAAACTGAACTAAAAGTAACTTAAGTTACCGTTAATGACATGGGCTCTTTGCTATATATCTATTAGCTTCAAATAGAGAAAGTGAGTTTTTGAGGTTGGAAACCAATCTTATAGTGTACTCTGTAAGAACACCTTTGGTATGGTACACGAAGGATAGGTTGCTCCAAAAGAAAGGGGATCCTTAAAAGGTATGAATAGGTCAGAGGAATGATGGATAAGTTTAGAATCTTGTGACCAAATATTATCTTTCTTCTATTGGCCTTTTTCACCTATGTTGTACATATGTATAATACTTCTAACATTTTTCAAGGCATTTTAATCTATTTCTCACTTATGCTGATTTTAGAATTATAGACCCTTAAATAGATAGAGCAGATATCCATATCATCTAGTCAAAACTTGTTATTTTACAGATAAAGAACCAGTGCTTATGGAGGCTAAGTGCTTACCCAGGAATTCTAAGTGAGTTCCTGTCACAGTGTAGACAGTTCTGTGACCCTGTGTTTATTTCTTCCATTTTAATTTCAAGGAAACAACTGTACATGAAGACCAAGTAATGTGCCCAAACTCACAGCCAGTGGAGGTCAGGGCCATAGGATCATGGTCTCTGGCTGGCTTGCTCTCTTTTCAGCCTATGGATAGCCTTTCCGCATTAGATGCTCTTCTCAGTCCTTTCTCTATCCTCTCATCCAATAAATGGAAATCAAATATCTTCTCTATGTGATATGATTGGCAGGATGATGAGCAGATGGAAGTCTGAGAGGCTTTAGATGCCTACAGTCTTGTTCTTTAAGTCTTTGGAAGATATTAGGATGTTTTAGTCTTACCCTTTATTCCTCAGAGGCATTAACACTTGAAAAGTAAAACTTCACTGAGCAAAAGTAGTAGACTCACATTGAGTCAATAAGATGAAGAGAAATGTTTTCAAGTTCGAAGGAGGACATTACCTTGAAATTTCAGTAGTTTACAATTTTAATGAGAAAAACTGCTATGAGGGTAGGTTATTAAACAAAAATATTATAATAGTTTAATTGAAAGCCATTGGATTTTTAGGAAGTTGAGGGTATTATTCAACATCTGGCAATTAACATTTGCATAACACTTTACAATTTACAAATTGCTTTCACATTTATAATCTAATTA